GGCTGGGGTCCTCCTGCACCCGGAATCTCCTGCCAGTTGCCCACGGCTTGTTGGTTAGATGGCTGCAAGCCACACACCAACCCCATGGTCGGCAAGAACCGACGTAGTCGATTGTACCCTGCACTGCGGGCCTGGGCATGGTCAACATTCATAGTGAGGAGGGCACCACGTAGCAACTCCAAATACCTGCCCCTGGACATCTTGCGGTCAATGAGCCAGGCCGTATTTTCCGTGACCTCCCAGAGGTCATCAGCGCTCAGTTGCAACGAGGGCCACAGGAAATTCCGTGCCGGGTCCAGCTCAACAGTCACGAAGTCCCGCACGATACGCTGCAAGCTGAGGCCTTGAAACTCAAGCTCAGGCATGGCCCAGGCATAAGGCGGACGCGCTCCTTTGCGCCGGGCTTTGCCTTGTGAGCACTCAAAGATCAAACATTGCGGGTGCGCCTCAATGTAATGTGACCTTTGAAAATGTTCAAAGCGCACGCAAGATACGGCGGCCCACGCCAAAAATGTCAAAATCAACAGGTGCGTACCGGAGGACTGCTTCATCATCAAAAGGAGATTCACCATCTCCCATGGCTGCAATTCCGTCCTCTGCTGCACCTGATGATCAGGGGGCAACAACCGAAACGGCTGGGTCAACCAATGATCCGTGTTGAAGGGGAGGCCAAAGTTCAGGCGAAACCACTTGAGGGCCTGATACATGGATGATGCTGCTGTTGGGCCACCCTGGGCCACCATGCGCAAGAACTCACCCAGTTGAAGCGGCGTGGGTGCATTGACTGTATATTGCTTGCTGGCTGCGTAGCGTAGCCACCGTCTCAAAGCTGCCAGCAATGCTCCAATGCGCTGCTCTGTAAGCCTCCCCGTGGTCTGCATCACCTGGTCCTTGAGCTGTTGGAGCCGCACCGGGTCTCCAAGGTCAGCCCAGGTGACACCCAATTCCTCCAGGTTGAGGAAATTGGTCACCAAAACATCAAATAGGGCCTGCGTCTTCGTGGCCTTCTTTGCCACCTCTTTGGTGTGTGGGTCCGATGCCGCGGCCGAATGCAGCATCGGTGGCCGCCCTGGGATCCCGGTCGCCAGGAGCTGCCGTACCCGGCCTTGGGGCCCTCCTCGGACGGCGGGGCCACCACCGAATGGGTCTCCACCACAGAGCGCCTATTGCCCACCACGGCCTGCAAGACCCGTCGGTGATGATCATTGGCTCGACGATGTGCCAATGTCCATAGGGCGCTGACCTGAAAGGTCTCCTCCGAGCCTAGGGCCCTCTGCCTGGCCTCCAGCTCTTCCACCAAAGCGCCTCCAGTGTCCCAAATGCCCACCACGTCCTGGCAGGTTTGTACACCATTGTGACAAAACAATGATACCAGGGCATCGGAGTGGTCAGCGACCAATTCCAAAAGCTCTGCCTCCATGGCCTGGTCTGGTTGCCGAATGGCCATCACCTGACACCGCACCCCGGCAGGCGAACGAGATGGCGACCGTGGCCGTCGGCGATCTGGAGGCGGGCCTGGCGGAGGGACAGGGCCGGCAGCCGGGGCGGAGCTACCGGAGGCTGCTTGGGGGGAGCTGGACAACTGCTCAATGATGAGCTCCCTGGTCCGCTCGACGGACAATCCGAGGACCTCCGCGACCTCCTCAATGGGGACCTGGCCGGTGGCATCTTGGAAATGGGGTGGATTGGACCTGTCACCCCACCCGGAGATCTCGACCTGGTCTTCGGTGTCGTGCCCTCCTTGGTCGAGGTACGCGGCATGGCCCTGATGCCACGTGACACCGCGAAACCGGCACTGGTCACAGACCAGCTCTAGCCGATCGCAGGCGGTGCACACCGCACCGAAGGAGTCGGGCTGCCGAGCGTAGCAGCCCTCACACCACGAGGCCGTGTAGTCCCCACAGCACCGGCAGTGATCTGCTTCAATGTCAGGCCGGCGCTCAATAGATGCCCACACGGCCAATATATAGGCTGACCTCGCGCCAAGGTCAGCTCGTCGCTCTTCAGGCGACAGATTGGAGGGGTCCGATCCCCTATGCGCGCGGCGCCAACGTCGAGCCCCGGGGTTCCAAACCGCCGGAGTCGACCGCGTGATGCGCGGCATGGCGGAAAAAAGACTTCCCTCCCGATCTTGAGCCAAAATGGCATCAAGATCAGGAGTAACCCCTACATGTTTCAAATCCCAAAATGTCCCTACCCAACCAGCCATTCATTTTGGGGAGATAAATATGTGTGTGTGTGTCCACCCCTGGACAAAGGGTTTTCCACCACCACCTTTCG